ATCTACCAAAACGCATAACATTTCCATTGTATGGAGCATTACTCTATAAAAAAATTTCAAACATGCATTAAGGTATAAGCCAATTATGTTCACCTGCAGTAACCAAATTGTTATACGCTCAGATTTGAATTATCTCCACAACAAGCTTAGGGTGATCTTATTCTTTTTTCCCAGCGGAGTCTGTTTTGATTTACCACTAGTCGGGTCTTTGGTGCTTTCCATTTCCCCAGTGAGTCATCGTTTTCCCTTGCCCTTGCAAGCCCTTGGTTATTTTTACCTGTGTTTTCCTTGCCTTCTGAGTGCAACTAAGAGTCAGTGTATACTCTTTCCTATTTCTCGAGTATTTGAGTATCCATGCTTAGTGTGTGGTAATTCAAATAATTGCCACTCTTGAAGAATTACACCCCGCTTCTGGCCTTAGGGATATTGTAGTTCTTGCGCATTTGCAACCTATCAAAAGCCCAACGTGTTTTGGTAATCCTTGTTAGAGTCCTCTTCGACTGGTCTCTTTCTCTTGTAGAGTTCACCTTTGGTTTGTGCTCTCTGAAGGTCTTGCTTAGTCGGTTTATTGTCTTTGGTATCCACGCTAGTCAGGATCTCCTTCCATTAGCTTAGGTAACCTTCTCTGTTAAGAGTCCTTCAGTGTCTCTTTAAAGTCAAGTTGTCTGGCATCCTTGGTTGGGAGAGTTCGTCCTTTATTATTGGGGCTTTCTTCGGTTAGTCTCTTTCTCGTGTTTGCTACCAACTTCGAACATTTGTTTCTTGATGCCCAATTTTGCTTTTGTGTGTCTAACTCTGACCAGACATGCATATCTTTATTCCCTGTGAGTTCGCCTTTGATTGATGTTCTTTTTTTAGGAGTCTACCTTCGACTAGTATTCCTGATGAAGACTCCTCTTTGGTTGGTTTCTTTATTTTTAAGTCCATCTTAGGTTGGCACCCTTTAAATCCATCTTCGGCTGGTACCTTTTGTTAAGAGTTCCCTTTGGCTAGTCTCTTTTCATTTGTAAGTTCGCCTTTAATCGGTGTTCTTTTCTTAGGAATATACCTTCGACATAGTATTCCTTGTTAAAGATTCCCCTTTGGATGGTTTCTTTATCTTGAAGTACACCTTCGAGTGGCACCCCTTAAATCCACCTTCGGCTGGTACCTTTTGTTAAGAGTCCCCTTCGAATGGTCTCTTTTCATTTGTAAGTTCGCCTTTGATCAACATTCTTTTCTTAGGAATCTACCTTCAGCATAGTATTCCTTGTTAAAGATTCCTCTTCGGCTATTTCCTTTATCTTGAGGTCCACCTTCGAATGGAACCCCTTAAATCCACCTTCGGCTAGTATCAGTTGTTAGAAGTCCCCTTCGACTGGTCTATTTTCTTTGTAAGTTCACCCTTGATCGACGTACTTTCCCCTTTAAATCCACCTCCGGCTGGTATCATTTGTTAAGAGTCTACCTTCGGCTAGTCTCCTTATCATTACAGGTCCAACTGTCATATGTTAGAGTCTGCTTTGGTCGGTCTCTTTCTTATATGTGTCTAATTCTGACTAGACATGTATTTCTTATCCCCAGTAATCCCGCCTTCACCCGGTGGTCTGTTCGTTTGTTATTTTCACCTTCACCTGGTGTTTCTTCTGATTGTTGAGTTCGTTTTTAATGCAAGAGTTCTCTGTTTGATCTTCGAGATTCTATTTTGTTTCAAGAGATTTATGTTTGGTATCTTTGAGTCGTCTTTTGATTCAAGAGTTCTCAGCTTGATATTTGTGAGTTCGCCTTTGATTAAGGTGTTCTCTATTCGATCGTTGAGTTCATTTTTAATGCAAGCGTTCTTTGTTCGATCTTTGAGTTTCTATTTGGATTCAAGAGATCTTTATCCGGTATCTTTGAGTCCTCTTTTGATTCAAGAGTCCTTAGCTTGATATTTGTGAGTTCGCCTTTGATTAAGGTGTTCTCTATCCGATCGTTGAGTTCATTTTTGATGCAAGTGCTCTCTGTTTGATCTTTGAGTTTCTCTTTTAATTAAAGAGATCTCTATTCGGTATTTTTGAAGTCCTCTTTTGATTCAAGCATCCTCTATCCAATATCTTTGGGTTCTCTTTTGACTCAAGAGTTCCTTGTTTTCCCTTGTTGAGTTTGATTTTGATGCAAGTGTTCTCTTTTGATATTTTGGGTTTGCTTTTTTTCAAGTGTCCCTTGGTGGAGCCTTCTTCAGTCGGTCTCTTTCTTGTATATGTCTAACTCTGGCCTGACATATATCTCCATTATCTTTATTAAGAGTTTACCTTCACCTAGTCTTCTTTTCATTGTTGAGTTCACCTTTGATCGGTGTTAATTTCTTAGGAGTCTACCTTCGGCTTAGCCTCCTTGTTGATCAGCCTTTGTGCAGGCATCCTTTATTAATAGTCTACTTCGGTTGGTCTCTTTCTTATATGTGGTCTAACTCTGACCAGACACATATATTTTATCCTCAGTTCGCCTTCAATCGTTGTTCTTTTTCCAGGAGTCTATCTGCAGTTAACATTCCTTGTTAGAGCCTTCTTCGGTCGGTCTCTTCCTTATTTGTATATGTCTAATTTTACCTTGCATGCACTCAATATCTTCCTTATGTCCCCTACCAACTCCGGACATATTTATTCGATATCTGACATATGTGTCCTTTCCTCCGAACATATATCGTTGGCATCTTTGATATGGCTTTCTTCGGTTAGTCTCTGTCGTATGTTTGCTACCAACTCCGAACATGTATTCGTGATGCTTTTGTTATATGTTTGCTACCAACTCCGAACATATATTTGTGACTTCTTTGTTAAGAGTCTACCTAAGGCTAGTCTCTTCTATCTATATGTCTTTCCTCGACCTGGCATACATTCAATTCTCAGGTTGTCAGATTTGTTTCTTCTTTGATCCTGAGTCGTGAGTTTGCTAATTCGTTTCCTCTCTAACTTCTGAGTCATGAGTTCATCAATTTTTTTTCTTCTCTGACTTCTGATTCATGGGTTTGCTAATTCGTTTTCTCTCCTACTTGTGAGTCGTGAGTTTTCCAGTTTGTTTCTTCTCCGTCTTCTGAGTCGCGAGTCTATCACTTGTGTTTCTTCTCTGATCCTAAAACATGAGTATGTCAGATTTATTTCTTCTCCGACTTCTGAGTCGCGAGTTTACCAATTTGATTCTTGTTTGGTATCTGAATCATGAGTTTGTTAATGTGTTTCTCCTCCGATCCCTGGATCATGAGTCTGTCCTTTGTGTTTCTTCTCCGATCCCTGAATCGTGAGTTTATCAATGTGTTTTTTCTTCGATCCCTGAATCCTGAGTTTGTAAATGTGTTTCTTCTCCGACTTCTGAGTCGCGAGTTTGTCATTCTATTTCTTCTCTGACTTCTGAGTCGCGAGTGCGTAAGTTTTTTTGTTCTCCGACTTCTGAGTCGCGAGTTTTTCAGTTTGGTTTTTTCTATGATGTCTAAGTCACGAGTTTCCAACCCCTGACTTGTCATCTTATTCTTCTCTGACTGTTGAGTCATGAGTTTGCAACCCTGAGTTGCAGATGATTATCACATATAATTCCTCAACAGTCGTTTGTTCAACTTCTGTTCATCTTTTATGATGTCTTTCATTCGTGAATCTTCACCATGACTATTCTCTGCATTGTACACGAGAAATGTTATTCTTTAGTAGAGTTCTTATTCACCTTTTGGGAGTATGCTTGGTCAAGCATCCTTTACACCTTTCATTCGCCTTGGAAGATAGGAAACATAACTTCTTTTTCCTCTGAGGAAATCCTTCGGGAATACCACAAAAAATTCCCACCTATTCTTCGGAGCGCAAAATTTCAGGTTCTATTAGTATTTAATCTTCTTCTACCTTGAAAGTTCGAAAGGCTAGCGCCAATCTCACCTTCAGGTTGAAGACGATTAAATAGAGACAGTTGTTGCACCCTAAAATTTTCCCTCCTAATTTCTGTTATCTAGTTTAGGCTTTTGCATTCATCCGCATACATTCCATTAGGTCGTCTGCATTAACATAACATACATTTACATTTAATAAAGCACTATGAGGTTCAATGTTCAGGGATTGTGCAAGTTAGGGCTTCACATGGATTGAGACTTCTACATCAAGTACAATCTGATTCTTCTGTTTCATCTGGTTCTATCTGTGAGCATTGGAGTGTGGAATTAGGGCATGAAGTGTAATTATCAGAGACTCATTCCTCATCAAGAACAACAAGGTGTTTGGTGTTTAAACTGATGATTCTTGCTAACTCGGTCTTTGAAAAAGCACTTGATCTGATGGATTTCTTGAATTAGGGTTTATTTCCCTATGAGCTTGATCATATGGATTCCTACAATCATGATTTATTTATCTATAGACTTCCTAATCAGATGGATTCTCATGCTTAGGGTTTTACAAGGTCGTATCCTCATCTGAAGGATTTTTCAAGATGTTTCTTATTGTAATAATCATCAAGGCAGGACGTCCTTATGATTTGAACCATGGTTTAGGATCCCATCAAAACTTCATTTGTTAAATGGGATTTTTGGTGTTCCAAATGCAAGAAGATTTGGACTTATGGAGGTTAAGGGTCATCAATCAAGCGTGGCATGTATAGGATTCATTCTTCTACGTGTTATGGTCCAAAGATCTTAAATACTTGTTTTGGTCATCAAGAGTGATTCAAGAGAATCAAAGTATATAGTTTGTTTGGGAATTCAAAGTTGTTAACTCAAAAGTCAAACATGCTAAAGATGGAAACTTCATGATTTTAAATTTCTTGGAATTCAAGGTTTATATCATTCATCATGAATCAAATTGGCTATTTTTAAGATCATTGAACACCCATTGGTTCATCTAATCTCAAAATTCAAATTCACACAATTCATTCAAGGTTCAATTACAATTCAGGGTCTTATAAATATGGTTTAAGTTCCATGGTTCATCATGATCAAGCATTATTCAAATTCGAGTTCATTCAAACTTATTCAATTCTCAAGACCTTATTTCAATATCAATTTTCAAATGGTATTCAAAGCATACCATGATGATTCATTACAAAGATTTCTTCAAGCTCATAATCAAGTGAAAGAGATATGCAACTTGGAGAAGAAAGATTGTTTTGAATACTTGGGATTCTACCATGGAATTCAAGAGTTAACAAGAGGAAATGAGTCATTGTGTTCACATAAAGCTAATAGATTTCAAGTTCAAACCCTATGTCCATTACAAAATTTGTCCAAATTACATTACAAACCTATCCTAACCTAGTCCTTAATCATTCTTCTTTTATGCCCAAGCTTCCGTAGGTACGTATTTGCTTCAACCTTTATACAATCTTCGTGCTTTGATTCTTTCATGCTCAAACCATTTGTAAAAATGTGCAACCGAAGCTTCATTGGCCATGCCTCCATTCATTACCATTGTCACTAACAACAACTAACCATGCTTGTGTAAAAGCCAACATTGTCATCAAAAGTTCATACTTTAACAAGCTATAACCTGAACCATTCATAAAAAGAAGTCTATAAAAATCAATGTTATCACCGTGTTCACGCTAGCAATTAACGATGGCCATGCTATCATGTACACATAAAACAGATACAATAAACAAAAGTAATTCACAAAACCAGTTTTATCAATCCATTAAAACCAGTCCAACAACAAGCAACTTGCATAGCACTAGAAATCCAAAATAGAAAATGATAAAAAAATAGCATATGTAATAGAACCAGAAACCGTGAGAAATAGAAAGAAGCTTTATCAGAAAATATCAGAACAATTTCTAGCTCAGCATAACAGAATAAAACAGTCCTAACCAACTTCAAAAACCACCCTAACTGGATTAACACCCTTGCCAGCTCATCCTAATAGAATTCCAAAAAATCAAAACAAATTGTAACAGAATATAACAGAAAATCACAACAGAATTTGAAGTTTACTCAACCTACCTAATCTCTCATCTCAGCCATCTATTTCCTAACATAAATCATAAACCAATGGCTCAGATCCAATCATTTTCTAACTAATATTTCCTAGCTCTAACAGAAACAATAAAAACCGATTACCGCCTTCATTAATTCTCATTCTTCACTTCACAGAAGGATCACAAAAATAACTGACAAAAATACTTTCTTCTCCTCTCTTCTTCATCTTCATCGTTCCTCAATCACCATCTTCAACCTTAACGTGAATCACCATAAGCACCTTCAATATTCTCTTCACATTGGCTGAAGATTCTTCAAGGTACTCTCTAACCTTCAATCTCCATCTCCATCAATCCTCACGAGAACTTCATCCCGTCGCATACTGCATCATAGTTCTTTGCACCTTCATCTTCTTTGAGAATCATCATCAAACTTTATCGCATCATCATTGTCATTCATTTTTGTCTGTGAATCAATAATAACATCAATGCTACTGCAACAACAAGAGTCCAGTGCAGCAAGAACACAACGCATCAATACAACTCAGACAGACGCATATAGAAAGAAGAAGAAGGTGTAGAAGATCATTGCAGCCATAGAAAAGAACGAGAAAGTGGAGGAAAATTAAAGCGAAAATGAGTATAACTTTACCTGATATGAGCGCCTTTGTAGGTACGATTCCTTCGTATCTTTTGCCAATCTCGTTAATTCCTTATAGAGTACGATGAGAGGAAGCGAAGCCCCATGGTAACGAACTCTGATGCTCAACACATGGCATTTAATTTAAACATAGAAAACCTAGGGTTTTAGCTTGGATTTAAGATTCCGGAAAAATGATGAAAGATTAATGGAATGGATGATTTGGTACGGACTGAGGCGAGAAGGACGAAGCGAATCATGTATAGACCGGCCTTCTCCAGGGAATAACCGCCATGGTCTCTGTTGATGCGGCGTTTATTCTCGATTGAAGCTTTAAGACGAAGAGGGAATTTTAGGTTTAAGACATTACTGCGATATTCCAAACTGCACCTTTTCCATTTTTTTTCTTTTTTATTTGATATTTCTGATTTTTCTAAATAATATACTGAAATAAATAATAATTCTTGATGAGTGAAGTTGGGATTTGAAGAAAGTTAGTGTCTAGTGGTGAGTTGTATCGATTGAAAGAAGAGTTGGACTAAATTGTATGAGACTTGGTCCAATACACCATTGTTGTACCTCAATTTTTGTCCCTAAGATCCCTTCATCATACCATGTTGATTCAATTACAACAAGATCACATTAGGGCTCTTGGTTCTCCTCCCTATCTTTAGCTTTTCTCTTTGAGGAATCACCAAACATATTGACTTGTTTTTCTTTTGTGATCATGCATGTTTTGTTTTGACTTTCCTTTTAATTAATAAAATGCAATGTTGGTTTGTTTTACTTGTTAATAATGTAGGTAAAGGCAATGAGGCTTAGCAAGTTGCTCAATGGGTTCATGAGTTTATTTCCATGCCCTAGTCAATAAAGCTTGAGAAGTCCAAACCTCACCATTGAATTTGTTTTGGAAGAAATGGCATGGCAAGGTTTATCTTGGTTCACCACATTTAAAAGTTATCAAGATTGAGTCAAAAGTACAAGGGGTTGATTGAAGAAGTAGTCATGTTTGGACAAGACTTTGTTCCCCTTGGTCACAAGTGCATATTTCTCTCAATTCTCAACATATGGAAGTGGTTTTAGTGGCTATGAGTTCTCACTATCATCCTCAACAAATTATATTTACAAAGCAAAAGTGTTGGTACAAGAAGGTTATTCAAAATTGTCAAAGTTCCTCGAAGTATTTTCTTGATCTAGGAGCTAGGGTTTTGAACTTCAAAGAAGTATATCTTGCTCATCTTTTGGTATTTTTGAGTTATTCCAAAGACATCCTTCTATTAAAAGGGTTATCAATAAATCACTTCAAAAGTTTCAAGGAGTTTTCATGTGGAAGAAACTTGATGATGAAGAAAGATTACAAGTCCTCTAGATGAACCCCCATTTTCCCATATGTGACTTCAAATGATCATAACTTGGTCAATTTTTATCACCTTGAGCCCACTAATTTTCCACAATGATCTTGAGGATTTGAACTTTATGCCTTCTTTTATGTGCAAAGTAAGAAAATAGATGGAAGATTCCCTAAGTATACAAAAGATTATAGGTCATTCCATGATTTTTTGCCAACTTCAACAATTCATAACTCTCTCAATTTTTGGAGATTTTGAATGGTTCAAGTTTCAAAATGTTATTCAAGAGGTCCATTTCATGCCATCTTTTTTGGTCAAGAGCAAATTCCAATTGGAAGGCCATGTTTGGATGCAAAACATTATAGGTCACTTTTGAAGAAAATTTTGAAATATTTCTAAGTATGGAAAGTCAACCTTTTCCCCCCAACTTTGACTCAATGCAACTTTCAGCTCAAGCATCCATTTGATTCCATTCTTTTTCCATTTTAAAACTTGTAATCTCATCTTTCTAAAGCATCAAGAATTATGCCTTAAGATCCCTTGAGCTGAGAATTCCATTGGATTGAACTTGGTAACTTGGAACTGAAGTTTCTTCATAAGTCAGAATTTGAAATTCATATTTTGGCCTCTAAACATCAAATTAGCATGCATTTGTGATCTAAACATGTTTAACCAAGTTACGAAAGTGGATTAGAGCTTTAAAATACAAGGATTGGATGAGTTTTGATGCAAATCAGATCACACTTTGCTCGTGCATCAGGTTCACACGATTTCCCTCCAAACTTCATCATTTCACACGCTTGAACATCCCATTTGATTCCCTAAAAATAGAGGGTCATCCCCCATTCATTTCCTCAAGCTTTGAGAGCCAAATACACTATGTCAAAACCTCACACGAACTTCAAATTTTTGAAATCAGTTTCTGATATTCAAGCCTTTTCTTCCAAAATTCTCTGCACATTCATCTTCCTTAAGCATCATACAAACTCTCCAGCACTTAAACAAAGCAAAACGAGCTATAATTCAAGCTATAGAAGTCCATTTTCAGAGCTTCTTTCTTGAACTTCGAAAAGGTAGAATTCTCCACCATTTGGATCCAAATAAAGCACTAACTTGTTCTACTCCTTCTCCTGAATCTGGTGTTTATTACAATTTTTAAATCCATTGAGAATTGAGAGAGAAATCTCAAATTGAAGGTGCTAGCTATTTTTTGGGTTTTTGATTCACATCTCTTTCAATACCTTATATAAATTTGGCGCGATGGTGGTGTTAGGATCGTCTTGAAGAGACAAATCCAATGATACTGATCTGAGATCCTAATTTTTCCATTTGAAAGATCTCACAAAATCTCCATTGCAGGGTGGCTGAAGGTTGAAGATGATGACATGTCTCGTCTCAGCCAATGATAGCGTGCAAAACGTTTTAATTTCATTGGTTGGCCTTTTTCTGATCCTATGCGTATCTTACTAAGGTCCGTATCAAGCACAGTGTCTTTGGTCCATTGGATTAGCTTACTAACACGTTTTGACTATGATCTGATGGCCCACATCTTTTTGGTTTTATTTTATTTTCTGATTTTATATTTTAATTGATTTAATTTTCAAAAATTCATAACTCTTTCATTTTTTATCCAAAAATTATGAAAAAATTCACAAAAATACTTTGAATTATTTCTGATCTCATGACTATTTTTTCACATTTTTATTTTGACATTTGATATTTTTTATATATTTTTGCATTGTTTGCTTTGTTTTAATTACTTTAAAAATACTTTCTGACATTTTTTTAATTCTAAAAAATTCATAAATATCATTTTACATATTACTGACCTTTTTGAAAATTTTATGAAAATTTATATTGATGTTTACTATTTTTGATCTATTTTCTATTTGTTTAAACAATTTTAATTAGTTTTAAAATAGTTTCTGACTTTTAAAAATTTCAAAAAATATTTATAAAAATATTTGAGTCCTTTTCTGATTTTTCTATGGTTTTACTTAATTTTTATTGATTAATTTGAATATAGTTGATATTTTCTTTCTTATTTCTATTTTAAAACATTTTTAAAACCTTTTTTTAATGTATATATTAAATGCAATATTATTTTGTGATTATTTTCTGGCTGAACTTGGGTTGAATTTTGATCATGAACTTTATTAACATCATTGGATCCATTGTGTTGAGTCTAACTCCATAAAGATGAATGAATGATTTTAATAATAGTTTGATTTAAACTTAATTCAAATGTGGTTTGTATATTCTTTCCCATCCTTCTTCATCTTGTCCCTTTCTTATTGCACTAAGTGTTATTGGAGCATGATCTTTATATCATGTTTCAAAATAAATGGTGCATAGA